GTGGCCGCCACTGCGGTGCCTCAGCGGCTCTTACGGAACCCCACCACGGAGACTCACTTTGGGTACCTTTTATTATCTTTTACTGGGAAACGAAATCAAGAGAGAAGAGGGAGGAGGAAGGGACAAACGGATGGAAGCCGAGGTGTCCTTTTGGGAATGGGGGATCTCCAGCCATAATGTGTGAGTGCCCTTCCCCACCCTCAGCACCACCGCGCGGGCTCCGGCTGTGTTCAGCCCCACGTCAGGCTTTTCTTGCCGTGGCAATAGGGAAAGCCCCAGCCTCTGCAGCCTTGCCTGCAGACCCCCCCGCTCAGCACTGGAGTTTACTTCCTTGGCATTTCCACTTGGAGTGGAAGAGGTAGGATTTATTGTAGGAATGCAAAGTGCTCGCGAAGCACGAAGCCACCGCCTTGTCGCACAGGCAGGTCTCTCTCTTGCACCAGCTCTGCTCATCACCTGCGGGGGAAACATGGGGCTCTGCAATGGCTTTTCTGCTCAGCATCAGTAACGGGGGCCCCTCAGGGCACCCCCAGTGCCTGGAGCTGCCCAGGGGAAGAGCACGAAGCAGCGTGCCCAGAGCTCGCCCTCTCCAAGCTGCCTGCATCCCTCGCAATTCCCGTTCATTTATCAAGTGCTGCACCCTGGGGGCATCCAACAGGGCATCAGGCTGGTTCCATCCCTGGGGGGATGCCCTCCTGTGTACCTCGGGTGCTGTGGGGACTTGTAGGTGGTTCCCCAACTCCGTGGGCCCCCCCCCAACTGCGTGGGCCCCCCCCACTCAGTGGTACTCACTGCAGATGATGTCTCCATCAGCAACATCGAATTGGTAGAGGGTTATCAAGGGGGTGCACGTGCCCTCTCTCAGCTTCCTGTAGCAGCAGTCGTGGGCATGGCAGCACCTACAGGGGATGCCGTGTGGACCCTCACCACGCCTCGAAGGTGAAGGAAGGTCCGGCCTCAAATTTAAAGTGACTGGAAGGAGGGGATGGCCAAGGCTGCAGTAAGATGTGACTCGGGAACAGTGTGAAACCCCCTCTCCAGAGCACACCAGTGCCCAGTGAGGAGGTTCCTGGGGACCCCACCGCAGGGTACTCACCGGTCGGTGGAGTCCACCGGGGTCCCTCTGCCCCCGATGCCGCAGAAGCACCCGTACCAGCTGTAGGAGAGCAGCGCGCTGCGCCCCGTGGCCGCCAGGATCATCTGCTCCAGCTCCAGG